GGGGGGGGACAGAGGCTGTGTAAAAGCCTCCTTCCCTAGCACCAAAGAGGTTATTTATATCCCTAGCACTGACCTTTGAACTTTGACCTGATGTTGGCCAGCTCCTTGTTGATCCTCTTGATCTCCGCCTCTTTGCTCTTGCCTGGGGGAGACAAAGATAAAAGTCACATCAACATCAGTTGGAGTAGTTTTGGGGGTTTTTTGGGTTGTTTTTTTGTAAGTAAGTGTTTTACGGCACTTGCGAGACAATAAGGTCATATAAGTGCCGAAGATTAGAGGTGTTACAAGAGAGTAACAAACATACAATAAAAACAAGTAGGAGAGATAAGGACGATAGATGTTTGATGGGAAAGAAGAAGCAAACCACACCAGAGCACCCGCCAACCACCCACTTATTAAGTGTTTTACGGCACTTGCAACACAAGGTCATGTAAGTGCCAAAGATTAGCGGTTTTAGTTTCAGTACGGTAAGTGTTTTACAGCACTTGCAACCCAATAAGGACATATATGTGCTGAAGATTAGAGGTGCTACAAGAGAGTAACAAAAAGAGCAATAAGAGGGGAGATAAAGATGAAAGACGTTTGATAGGAAAAAAGGAGCTAACCACACCAAAGCATCCCCTCAGTTTTAGTAGAGGTTTTACGGCGCTCGCAACTGCAGAAGGCCATATGGGTGCCAGAAGATTACACGTGTTACAAGAGAGTAACAAACATAAAAAAGAAGAAGGGGAGATAAGGACGATAGATGTTTGATAGGAAAGAAGAAGCAAATCACACCAGAGCACCCGCCAACCACCCCCTCAACATCAGTTTGAGTTGGAATAAACATAAGATACAATAACTGTAACCATATAGTGCAGGGAAGAACAAAGACAAACTACTGAGGGAAAGAAAAAAAGAAGGACTTATCAGTGGCACTCTCCAACCACCCGCACACATCAGCATCAAAATCAATATCAAAATAATATTATATCTTCATTCACAAAGACCTCATACCACAGTGTGTGCTGAGTGTTAATTTAGTCTTAGCAAGAGTTTCACGGAACTTGCGTGCCGAGTATTAGAGGTCGTGTTACCTGAGAGTAACAAACACAAAAAGGAGGAGGAGCAGAGAAGAAGATGATAGATGTTTAATAGGAAAAACGGAACATTAAGCCCAACCAGGGCACCAGCCAACCACCCACACCACCATCCAATCATCTGTGGACCCCCCCCCCCCTCACCAAAATAAAAACAAACAAACAAATAAAATAAACAAAAACTTGTGTTCTACAAGTCAAAGGGTGCTATCTAGATCTCGGACCTCCAGCACATCGAAGTAGATAAGACGACAGATGGTTTTTGTGCCGGGCGGATCAATTGTCTGTCTGTCTGTCTGCCTATCTGTCCGTCCGTCCATCCGTCCGTCTGTCCGCATCATCGGAAGTCATAGGTTGTTGACTTAATCATCTATTTCTCCGGCTCCCACTAACGCCCAACGCCGGGCTCACCACACCCACCACATGGCGCCACC